ATATATGGGCATGCAAGCATGAACCTGACGCAGACCAATCTATTCTTCTTGCTGATTGGCTGTTGGATTTGATTGGATTAACTCAATTAACACCTGTTCAAAGCCATTCCATTTTGACAGTATGAACTCAAGTGTTTTGGTAGGTACAGCACAGGCCACGAAATACGCATCGATTTTCGAGGGACGTTCTGCGGGAGAGTGCAGGACGCTGTGCGGGACTTTCCCTCGGGAGAGTGCGGGAGTCCTCCGGGAGAGTGCGATACGTTCTGCGGGAGAGTGCGGTACGTCCAGCGGGAGAGTGCGGTAACGTTCTGCGGGAGCCCAGACATTTTGCTCTTCTCTGTTGGAACAACGCAAGTTGGAGGTCAATGACCTGCGCCCGGCGTGTAAACAAAAAAGTTACGCGGTACGTAATGTGTATCGTCGGCGCGCGCGCCACGGTATCAACAATTTTCCGCAATCTTTACCAACTAGTATTATCTAGGTTCTGTTATCGATCTCCGAAGAATCACCAAAATTGTAGAGTGTAGCGTTACAGGCGTTCGTTTGTTGTTGCTGAGAACATCGCGAGACGGCTTCCTGGCGAGCGTCGAGGGCTTGCACGCCCGACAGTTTTCGAAGATTGGACAGGGAGCGGCTGTAATATTAAAGGAGCCGGCGGCTTCTGCTAGCCGGCTTGATAGTTAAGTAACATCAAGGTGGTTCAAAAGCAAACCTGATAAAGAAGGAAACCCCGTAGTTAATAGTTGAAAGTCTTGGTGCCTTGAAGCGATCGATACCGCCATGCTGTTTACTTTTTATGACATACAATGCAGTGAGTGATGTGTATCGCACCGAGTTAGCTCGGTTGGAAACGCGCAAGGCGGCAATCCCAGGCATTGCAAGTTCGAACCCCAGTGCATCGGACATAAATATTTTTAGCAATTTAACATTTTTAACAATTTTATCATTTTTAACTAATTTTATCAGTTTTTAACAATTTTAACAATTCTGCATTTTAACAATTTCAACATTTTTTTTTATTTTCGTTGTTTTGTCTTTTAACATTCAAAAACTGATTGTTCTTACTCAAGAATGTCAATAACTTAGAATGTTAGTCTTTTGTATTTTTCCAACATACAAACTAAAATCACTTTGATGTTGTCACAAAAGTATTGAGCTGACAAGAGAGAAGGAGTACGGTACTCTGCCAGTGTGAAGAATCTACAGAGGTATTACCAGTCACTAGTAGCAAGAGATAGACCACATTGAATGATGACGATGAGGACGAATCATATGAAGTACTATCATAGCTAGTACAGAAATTCTACTGTCTTTACTTTACTTTCTTTCACTCTGTACATGCAATTAGCTCACTGGCATGTATTTTAAAAATAAAGGTTATGATAATCATATTATATGTATAGCTTATTCAATGTATGGCTTCATAGTTTATGTGATTGTTAATAACACCTGCACAGAGCATTTCCATACTGACAGTATGTCTTTATTCAAGTGTTTTGGTAGGTATTTCAAGCTTTTCTGCTCCAGCATTGGAATGCGGGGCATGAACGTTTTTTTTTATTTTGAAAATCAACAGTTTGCATTATGCAATTAAAAATCCTAACCAATAAAGTAGGGAATAGCTATCCAACTGTTGTTTTAGTTGTATGTTACTTCATATTATAGTTATATCAATGTAAATCATTGTTTTCCCTTGTGTTTCTCATTCTTTCCCTGCCATGTCGTAAAATGTGGTGAACCCATCGCTGTATTTGCTCCAAAGCAAATATTGGCCTTTCGAGTTACATCTTCTTCTTCATAGATACATACGATGAAGAAAAATACCTTATTATTCCAAATTCCAAACATCGCCGGGCCATGTAGAAACTACGAAACCGGCTGACATAACAGGCTGACATAACCGGGCTTCCGTAGAAGATACATTTGTACTTGTAAGTGTAAATCATTTGATGCTTAACTTCAGACACTGTTTAGAAAAATAAACTCAGATAAACTGTGTAAGGTAGAACAAAGAAATTTCAGTCATCTCATGTCTACCAGTAATGACCACACAATAGAATTTGTGAATTTAATAAGAGAGAAGAAGTCTTCCAGACCTAGGTTAGATAGTGGTTCCTAAGACTCTTACGTCATTCGTTTATCCTTGTATCCTATGTTCTTAATTAATGTTGCTCAGTATGATATACATGTAACATCATACCCTGGTGTATGCATTTAGCCCAATGGACATGAGCATGCAAATAAAGATTCTTATATTTCTATTTATTAGCCATGTTCTACTGATTTACGGGTACCACATATTTTCTAGGCCAAAAACAGTCAATTGTATGGCGTCATGCGTACTAACAAAAAACACAAGCGATATAAATACGAAGTCAATATAAAGACACAAATTTTGTGTTCTATATACATATACCATGTATCACATGCAAATATGGCCAGTCCTATCACCATTTTCGGGGTACAAGGATATATTTTACTATAAAGTGTTCGATAAATTAATTTTGATAATGGTAACTATCCTCTTAGGAAGTACGATTTTTCCCATTACCATCTAGCCAGTCTTAACGGTCATATAGCCGAATTCCTGATTCGAGTAAAGAGTATTGGAAAAGGAATTGTCTTATAAAGGTCTCGTAATCTCGGAAGAGAATGTTTCGGGGACAATCTCTGTTTTAACCCTATCTAGACCGGGGGGGGGAGGGCTAAAAGTGCCCGCGCCAACTTTGATGTCATCTAGCGTCCGAACGGCTAGTGCTAGAACAGCCAAACTTGGTGACTTTTCCTAGAATATTGTTGGCAACAATTCTGTATCATTGGATGAAGATATTAATTTTTGTGTTGCCATGGCAACGGGTTTCTGACAGGCATTTCTTGCTAAATTTAGTAATTTTTGTTTCAACAATAGAATTTTATGGGTTTTATGTCAAGTTACGCATGGTTTCTAATATTAATAACATCCCAGATAATGTTATGTAAATTTTATAATTAAAAATACACAATTTATGCTAATTTGATGACGTCATTGGCCAAAATCCAAGATGGCGGGCCATATCATTATAACAGGTATATACAGGTTATTTTCCTTAAAATTTCATGAAAACTTCCATTTCTTTTTGCAAAAAAGGTTCATATGAACGTCTTTAGTCTGTTTACAATGTATTTTAGGCTTTATCCTGAAAAAAAACTATTTTTGAAAATTCAAGATTGATGATCCAAAATGGCGGATAGCTTAAATATGTATGACGTCATTTTATGACGTCACCGGTAAAGTTATGTTGTATATCATTTAGTTTTCAGGGAATAACCTATCTGGACGGTTTTGGCCAATAAATTCACATTAATGACGTCATTATGACGTCATTATGTCATAACGACATAAAAATTGTAGATATGATACATTTTTACTAGTACACCATCCTCTAAAAATTTGGTGGTCATACGACATACCGTTCTCGAGTTCTGAGGGGGGGGTCAAAAGAGCCCCCCCCCGGTCCCCCCATGCTCGAAAAAGCCCGGTCTAGATAGGGTTAAGGCACACACCATGCCGGACTTGTGAGACAAACTTTCGACAACAGTCATACTGTACAATTGATCGCCATTTTTGTTTTCTTATAGAAATGAATGCTCCATCGTGCAATTCAACTGACAAATTGCAAGAACGCATTGGTCTTGTAGCTGATGTTAGATGCGACTCCACAACAGCAATGGTCAAGAGGATTGTACTTCATCAGACGGGGGTCCCGAACGGGTATCTGAAGTTACTGGTCCTGCTGACAGTCTGCCTGACGTCGCCGTGCTTCGCTCAGGTATCTCTCTGGTCATCTGGTTATATGTACCATCTGGCATCTTTAGTGGTTATCACACGGGGGATCACCAACGATGATGGTGAAACTTTCTGCCCTAATAAAATACAATCACATCAGGACATCCACATTCCATCTAGCATTGAACAACACTAATGGTTTACATGGCATGGTCAACTATAACTCGATCACCAAAGTAAACTCATCGTCTTTAGCTAGAGTAATGCTATCGTTCAAAGTATTACGTTGGGACTTAAGTAACATATCTAATGAGACTACTCTAAAATCCCATAGCTTTGAGGACAATACCAACATTACACTTGTACTTAACCACAAGTCCAGAAACGTACCACCCAATCGTAACGTTATCATAATTTTCCTGGCCAAAAATTGCGCACGTCATAACTTAGAGGGAACTGTTAAAACATCGTGAACCTTGACTGTTACGCTCTATGCCTGCATTTTGGGACGTGATCCCGTCATAAATCATCCATGCACCAGGCGCGCGTCCCGTCCCGTCCCGGAGACTCGTCATTTATCAGTTTCCGTCACCTGGTATGCCGCTGGGAAGCCTCGGGGCGATGGTGCATCATCTGTTCAAACGATTTCAGTATACAGATATGAATAACACGAATTTACCAGATTTCAATATCCATTCTAAAAGTCTCTTAGATGAAACAACACATGAAGCAAGCTACCATAGCAGGCAGTGTGAGCCATAATAAGATAGGTTGCACATTTTGTACAATCGCCATGGTAATATAGCAAACATGAGACTTAAGAACAGAATTTACCCATACCAATTCGAGATACCACATCCGGGTTTTAAGAAATGACTAAGAAAATGTACTACATTTTACTTTACTTATAGCTCACTGATTTTTTTGTGCTGGTGTAAACAGGAGTTGATTGGCTGTAAGCTGAATATCGACCGCTTTAGTCTCGACAACAACGACACCTTAGTCACCGAATGTTGTGAACGAGACAGAGAAAATCCAGAAAACATACAGTCGACCTTCGACTTCCAAAACTCCTCGACATCCAGTAAACGTAAGTGTGTGTTTACCTTCACGAAGAAGGCTATGTTTTCGGTAGCGTTTGTATGTGTGTATGTATGTCTGTCTGTGTTTGTGCATGTGCGTATGTGATTTAGCACGATAACTATTTGCATAAACAATTCGTCAGTTATGAATGTCATTCGGCGAAGGTCTCTTGGACTCTAGTTATGCTTTTTTAGATTCTCAAAACATTCACCCTGGTATTTTATTTCCTTGTTATCGGACGTTTGTTCTCTACAGCACCAACAGTCGTGTGCAAAAAGACGTTGGCGACTATTGACCCACTCCCGCCCGTCTGTCTGCCCGAGGCCAGGGCAGGAGAAAAGGTCCACACACCGTGCCCACTGCATCAGTTCTTCAAACAGGACGGAGATGCAAGTAAGGATACAATATTATATATGGTACAAGGAAGAGCACTATATTAATGTCTGATATCTTTGTCATTTGAAGACACTCTCGAGATGAAACCTTACTAAAGTTGGTTTACACCAAGAAGGAAAGCTACTGTATATCGGACTCACTGTTTCAATTCTTAAAGTGGCCAACGATTTGGGAAATACTTCTTTGTCAGCTGTGATTCCTATCAGAAAAAAAGTATGCATGGCGTTCTAAATCGCGACCGTGGGTGAAGCAAACATCTGTGGTTGGTGAAATGTTGATGGGTGTTAAACAGCATGTAGTAGAGTTTGTTGAAACCCTGTAGGCTTAACCCAGGCACTAGATTTTGGTTATGCATTTATTAGTATTCCCGCGGAGGAGATAAATCCCTGGAAAATATGGATGTGAAGTGGTCGGTCACAGTCAATTATGACTAGGTCACAAAAGTAGATTCTTAACTATTCCCATAGGAGATGTAATGGGTAAAGAAAATCGTCAAGGCCAAGGGACATGCCATTGCTTAAGTTTGCGTGGGGGTGACTTATTCTTCGGGGCTGATATCGTTTTCGCCTGCAGGGAAGGATACACCCTTCCGCGGAAGGGTTATTCGTGTGTAACTCGCGGTGGGCTGGACCGATTTCTTTGCGTCTCGGTATATGGTTTGCTATTCGGGTCCAGATCGTTCCTTTTATGTATCTGTGTTTTCTAGTCTCGAAATAAAATATTTGGACACCCCCGCGGGTCTGGCAGTGGGTTACGTTTTGTGGTTTTGGCTGTTGTTTAAGAGTACGAGTATGGCGGGTTTTACCATTCTGGCATAGGGGTGTCCGACATAGGTTAACGTAAACACGAACATTTGGCAGTGCAAGTGAGACAAATAACACGATTTTGTGCTTGTTGAACAAATACTTTATTTATTGAAGTGAATTTGTTATTGTGGTGAGTGCCGTGTGTTGCATGTTGTGGGATGTACTTGTGAGGCAAAATCATGTATACTATGCAGGTACAGCTGTTTCGTAGCCTGTAGTACAGTACTGGAAGTATGGGAGGCCGTTTTTCAATGTGTTCGCAGCTACACGTAAAAGTTATGGTTGTCTTCGTTGTATTTCTATGTAATTGGGCATGTAGGGGTAATTATGTCCGTCATGATGCACTTTTGTTTTTCAGAACACGTGTATGCTGAGTGCCAGGCTGACGGACAGTGGCATCCGCACGTCGACTACCGGGCGTGCTGGTCACAGGTAGACTGCAAACATTGTAAAAATTTCACATTTCCACTGTAGACACAGAAAGTCGCCGAAAAGTGTCACTAAATACCAATATTTACTACACTTTATTTGTAATCAAGTTAATAAATTCACCAAATAGTTAAGTATAGGCAGAGTTTCCATTTTGTTATCTTTTGATCACCTAAATAATGTACGGATTATATCATATCTTGGTTATTTCTGAAAACTATTTTTAATTCTTTTGAACAACAACTTCAATCGATAATGCAACGTTGTAACCCGTAAAGATGCACAATCTAAGACCACTGTTTAAGTTTCCAATGTATCACTATAGAAATTAAGGCCTGAAAACACAAGTTTATGAATCTAAAGCCATGTTCTTTCTTTGTACTTCTCTTTACCCCTATGTATCACAGTCGCATCACCAGATCTGCGTCGTGAGTATATTTAATTCAGGGAGCTGTAATTTTCCGTAATTTTTCTAC